TTAACGGAGGAACTGGATGATTCAACTCAAGAGGAGATGATTTAGCGTTAGATAAAGAAAATCTAGAAAGGCAATGTGATGGTGGACTTCGAACTGTTGTTGGTTTAGATTTTTCAATATAATCCAAAAGATCGGTTGGTGCATCTAATAAACGCATCCGGTATTTACTTTGTTGTTTTATAGGAGGAAAAAGTGGATTTTCCAATGCATTTTGTTGGTTTGTCGATTCAAGTGAGGAGGTGGAATCGACCGTTTCATCATTCCTAAATTCGTAAGGAAATTTCAAAGGAGGAAGAATGATCGGATATTTTTTAGGAGATGGTGGTGGTGATATAATAGATGACATGAAAGGAAAACTTTTATATGGTGTTGACATTTTTTTTTTTTTTCGAAAAAAAAAACTTTTTTAGATGTATTTATCAATACTTTAAAACTGCTTTAAAACTACTTTAAAACTGCTTTAAAACTACTTTAAAAATATTTTAAAAAATACTTTAAAAAAATATATACTTTAAAAAATATTTTATTTGAAAAGAAAAATATGAAAGCGAAAAGTAATAATAAAAGAAAAATCCTCTTTTTATTTATAAAAGAAAAATAATTTAAATTTTATGAATTGATTCTTAAAAAGATATTCTGTTGAGAAAACGCGAGTTCTTGGGGAAGAAGATGAGATCTTTTTATATAAATATTTTCCTATAATAAAAATTTTAGAGTACAATATATTCTATTGAAAAAATTGAATTGATTTTTAATTTTAGTTTAACTGTATAAATAGTATAAAATTTATAGTACTTACAAAAATAACTGTAATTTATATGCGATATATATGCGATATATGCGATTAATGAGTTTTATCAGAATTTAGCATGTATGATCGATCAATTATAAAGTTTTAAAATCATCAAAAAAAAAAAAAAAAGTTTCAAGGTACCTTTGTCCGGTTGGGTATTCGGATCCTTGAATTTTTTAGTGAGGAGGCGCCAATTTCCTTGTTTCAAAATGATAAATATATATTTTTGTTGAATTGCAGATGTGATATATTTTGATATTAATGCATACTTTTTCGTTGCTACGCATATAAATTCGGTGTCGGTGGATAATCAAATTGTGAAACTGTATAAATTCAGAGTTAGATGACCATCATTGCTTCCGAGTAATCTTAAAAGGAATTATTGAATTGTTTTTTATCCGAAATATATTGACATAAGCGGTATCGGGGCGTCTGTAGGCAATTAATTCAAAGTAAGTAGCATTAATGTAATTTTCCAAGGAAAAAAAAAAAAAAAAACTAATGAGTTAAATGTTACGCCAATCAATCAAATTTAGGATATGGTGAGAGATGATTCTATTTAGGCACGAAGGAATTCGGAAATTGTTTTTTTATTGCTATTTCAAGTAAAGGTAGTCACTGTGTTATCGTTATTTAATGTATTTATTAGTGTATTTAGTGTATTTGGTGATATATAATCCAACAAAAGATTACAAATATACAGTAATAAAATAACAAATATCTTTATTTTATTTGTGTTCGCAGATCATAACTCATAACATTTATGCCGAAGAAATGGCAAGATGTCATTCAAAAAAACTTTTTAAAATAATTAATATAATTAATGATATAATTAATGCTATAATTAATGCTATAATTAATGCTATAATTAATCATATAATTAATCATATAATTAATCATATAATTAATTATTGATATATTTTATTGATATATTTATTGATATATTTATTGATATATTTATTGATATATTTATTGATATAATTAATGGTACATATTTCATTTAAAAAATAAAAAATTATTTAAAATGCAGTTCATTGTCCGGGGACTGGGAATTATGACTTACGTGCATATATGATATATGTAATGTGATATAGAAGAGAATGTCACCTTTATATTGAAATGAACCAATAAATATTACGGGGAAATACTTTGGACAAATCAATGTGCTGTGGGACCAATTAGCATAACAAACAATGTCATATGTTCCATGATAGTTAAATCACCAGAACCAATCAACTTTATTATCGTTAGGTGATTATTGAAATGAATTCTAAATCATCATCATAAGAGTCTCATGTTTTTATCATATTATTATTATATTATTATTATGAAACAAGGTCTCGCCAATTTATGTCGTAATACATATGTCGTAATACACTTTCATTAATCGATCTCCGCAATGATAATAACCGTGGGAGCAATTCGCTAGCGTTGGCTCTCTGCATAAGTATCGTATTCAACACAACTGTTAAGGTGCGTTTACAATTTGTGAACCTTTTCTAGCAATGGATTTATTTATATTAAATACGCGTACATAACATTCCAACTTTGTTTTTCACAAACACAAAATAAAATTCGCATTGAAGTTCCAGTAATTGATCTGACCAATAATATTCTTTCAATTTCTGCGTAAATCTATTCATAACCATTTCGGATCGACTTTTGGATTGTAATACAAAACTGAAAGACGAATTTTTAATGTTTTAATATTTCTATCCATTTGAACACAATAATAAATTTAATAAATTTAATGCACTATATCAAGATTACGTTTATATTTTCATTTAATATTCTGTCAAAATAATTTAAACATTTACTTATCATCAATGCCGCAATAATGTTAATCATTTATCTTGCATAAATGTTATAAACAAATGCGGTTTTGACTGATATCTTTGAGAGCAAATTTAAGCATTTATATTATATACTTTCTAATTTATGCATCATTGAAATATTTATATTTCTAATGTGTTTCGAAGTTCCGCAAAGTAATCTTCTGGACTTGATCTACATCTTTTCTTGTCACCTAAAAATTTAACCCCCAAACGCCTCTGTCACGTGAAAATGTGATTGCTAATTATATTCAACAATGGATTAATAAAAAATTCTGATCTAAATATAGTTTGTATTAAGTTTGTTATATAGCATTTATCAAACATTTCTCTTTCTTTTTAAAAAAAAGTTCAATATCTGATGTTTGGTATTTTTTTATAAATCACCAATATACATTAATATACATTAATATCCACTAATATACACTAATATACACTAGTATACACTAAAATACACTAAAATATACACTAATATACGCGTCAACTATCTCAACTATTCTTTGTATAACGGTTAATAATGACCCCTTTGCGTAACCAACAATACCGTGACGTCAAATGTCGTGCGTACTGTATTCAAAAGAATGTTGAATAGGCTCAAACTCATTCTGTTCGTCCATTACATTCTTACCATTAATTCTCTACAACAATAAATTTTATACATTATTATTTTTGTTTCTCGCTTGAGCTATCCTATACTGATTACAGGATTTTAATCGAGAAATGTAACTCAAATATTTTCATGTACTCAATTAACAATAAAAAAATATTAATATTTAAAATTCAGGATTGTGTGATTATCTATTTGTCACTTAACCCCTCACGTAAATTTTGAATGAACCTAAATCAGATCAAGCAATTAAATGATTCGATGGTGTAAATAACTTTTTTCGTACTCAAATTGTTTTGGCTCTTAATCCGGGTATAATAATTGCATAATGCAACTCAATTCTTTTTTTTTATTGTACTATTTCAATTATTTTTTAATCATTGATATTTTATTTTATTTTATTATTTTTTTCTCAAGTATTACAGATAATATGTCGGTTAGTGATAATCTGATCATCATAAATAAATTATTTTAATTATGATTCGCAAACGAAAATTTGTTAATTTTTTGCAATGTGACTTTGCATTAATTTGTTGACTTTATTGATATTTTTCCATTTTGTGTAAAATATTATAACTGGTCAAAAAAAAATCAGAGAAAAATGTTTTTAAAATTCTGCTAAACAGTCAGAAAAAAAAAATAATCAAATAAAAATAATAAATAATAACCAATATTTTCATTTTATGATCACACCGCATTTTTTTTTTTTCAAATGTTTTCGTTTTATTATATAATATAATTATAATAAAGGTCCCTCAAAATAACCCTGAAATATTATTTGTCCATGTTTTGAATATGTATTCTCTTTTATTAAAACGAGAATTCGACGCATGTGGGGTTAAATATAAATTATTATACTATGCGGTGTTGCATAGATTTACAAAAATGCAAGTACGTGTGGAAGCTTTACCTCAAAAAGACACGATATTTATATTTAGGGTTGCATAGTGTAGTCTTATTTAGTGGTTTCATTTTATCTTTAATGATTAATATTGAATTTTTTGCATGAACTGTACGATAAATGGATCAAAAAGGAGTGTTGGTGTTCCTATTGTCAATATTAATCATATATAATCATATTAATCACATTAAATCATATTAATCATACTAATCATACTAATGGACTCCATCAAACAAGTTAATGAGTTTAATGCAAAATGTTTCAAAAACGTGACTTTTTACTATTTATATTACGCATATAAGTAAGTGTATGCTATTAATGCTATTATATTATATACTTATAAAGTTAAATAATGTATTCACTGCTTGTAAGAGTCTAATAAAGGTAGACCGACATTACGAACATTAGATAGTTTCAAATTTTTTAAAAACTTGTGATAAATAACTAATAACCAAATAAAGCAAATCGAATCACGGTGTTAGGAAAAATAAAATAACCATTTAATTTAAATCGCGTCTCCCACATGACTTTTTTGCATTGAAAAATTCTAAAAAAAATTGTAAAAAATAGATAACAATATTTTTTATAAAGATAAAGAATCTTTTTTTATTAAAATTATGCGAAATATATTTTTTGTTCTTAATAAGGATTAGTCATCAATTTTTTTATGCTTGGTCCGGGTGTCTTGCCGGTTTTATCATTTTAATGACACAGCAGATTATTAATATTATTAGTATTTCCTGCTAACAATTCATATATTCCCGATTTGAATAAGACCAATGTCGGTAAGATACCAATTAATCTGCGAAAGAAATTATGTGGCAGGTGAACAGGGATCCAAAAAAATGATGCTCATGTGTACATGCGATTGTTAAGTATAAAACTTATTAGATCTTCTATGAAAATCTGTCGGCTTTCACAAGGTTGGCGCTATTGTGTTTCCCTTATGATAACAATTCATGTTGATGCATAGAAAAAAGACTTGCAAAATTAATGACTTAAATAATGATTTACAATATTTGTCGATATGACTATGAATTAGGAATTAACATTTTTTATTAATTTATATAATTTATAAAAAAAAATTTTTTTTGTTTTCAATTTAGGATTTTTAACAGAGTAATTATTTAAAATTATTATAAAATTACGTAATTATATAATGTAATTTATCATAAAATTACGTAAGTTATATGACGTAATTTACAATTTAGCAACCCTGAAGGTCTTATTAACAAATCATTGAAATTCGTTACCAATTTTAGATTCTGCTAATTTAATGGATAAATACTAGACCTTTAAAGTTTTCGAAAATATCTTTTAGTACCACAGGAGAGGTAGTGTCTGATAGAACGGTTTAAAAACATCGTTCCATATATAGTCAAATCCCTCTAATTGCACCATTGACTAAAAGATAACATTTACGTTATAACCATTTATCGATATAGAGAGAATTTATTTAGAAAATCTTTTAACTATGGAATTAATAATGAATTTGCATTTATAGAAAGTGCAATTATGAAGGGTTGACTGCAAAGTACGAGTGATACAAACCTAGAATAGGAAATCTGGCAAAAAAAAAGTTTAGGTTAGAGGTGTAGGATTAGAAGTTAATTGATAGTTCACGATTGACAGAGTATTGAAAGAGTATTAATAGGGGAATATTTTTATAATAAGATATATATAATAAAATTTATTAAAATAATCAATTCCTATAATTTTATGATTTTTAAATTTAAAATGCTTGTAACTTTTTATTTACCAACCCAATTTTACAACTTTTATTAGAACTTTACAAAAAGTTATATAACTTAATAAATATATTATATATATTATTATTAGGATCACTACGTATAGCAGATAAGGAATTATTAATAGCATTCTCCTTTCGTAAACTATCAATTGAATCATAAATTATGTAAAAATTATAAAATTATAAATTAGTAACACAAGGTTAATTTAAACATCCGTCTTGTATTTTCAGTTTATGTCGGGCTGATCCGGGATAATCAATTTGCACACTCTAATAAGACATTCACAATACATTCAATGAGATTCAATAATAATGTAGCACACAAAAAAATCATGTGAGAATTTTTTAACTACGTATTATACACGCTCTGTAAAGGTGTAAAACTATTGGATTATATATTGTAAATATCAGATTATAAGTTTATAAAGAACACATTATTTTAAGTGTAGCCAAATTCTGGCTGTTAATAGGACACGCCTCTTGGTATTTGATTTTATTGGTAACCAGGTAGTAAAAATACTATATGTTTAAATGCGTTTACAATATTCCTTAAATAAAATACCATTATAGGCAACGAAAAAGAACGGATATATGCGAAATTTCTCACTGCACAATGCACTCTTGCTCAAAATATTTACCGATCTTTCGAGACGATAAATATATTCATTGATAGTAGTGAAACTTGATCATCAATCTGTTACCTAATAAATTTTTACACTTTTTACATGTAACATATTATGCCAAACAAATATTATCAAATTAGCCCTTACGATAAATTCAATTTTGATTCCGGTTTTTCCTGATTTAGAATCTCTAAAATGTCGCCATAAATCGGATAATAACAACACAAAAAAAAAAAATAATAAAAAATTCGTAATCTATATAAAATTTAAATCAAATAATTTGCTATACATGAATGAAAATAAATGCTATGTAAGTACAATTTTATGAAACAGAACACTAAAATCGCCGTCTTTATGTGTCATGCTCGTAAGTTAATCATACATGATATTCAACGATATATTAAGGAGCCATTGACTTAAAAAATTCCTAAACATAGTTGCGCATTGGCCTTCTATAATTTTCCTTATTTGTAAACATTTGTAAGAATAAATTTTATATCCCATACTATAATAGGGAAACAAGTCCGACATTAAAATAATGATAATACATTCACTTGGCGTGTTTAATTTAGTTTTGTCTAAAATGTTTTTCTTATTATAAATGCCATTTTTTTTCATTTAGGGGAATGTAAGGACTAATGTATGAAATTTTTCACTACGTAACTATTCCTAAATTAACTAGCCTTATTATTTATATATATATTTGTACTAATTCAGTTATCTAGTGAATGGTAGTTCTAACACAAAAGTTCTAACGTTAGCACAATAATTTATACAAAAAATGCACGTGAAACAACCTTTTGATTAAAAATTTTCCGGAACTAATTCGGGGGATCCGGATTTAAAGTTTTACGAATGAATGCTGACTAATAAATGTTATTAGCGTTAAGCTTATTTGGAAAAAAACAATTAAAACGCGCGTAATTTTTATTAATCTTTTCTTTGAAAAATTTTTCTGAAACATCAAGCAATTCCAAGTTAGTCTATCATAATACTCTAACAAAACACACTAATAAATATACTAATAAACTACACCTTTATTTACCTTTTAATTTAACATCACTAAATGTTTGATATATCACTAAGTGTTTGATATATCACTAAATGTTTGATATATTACGAATGTTTGATACGTTATGAATGTTTGATATATTATGAATGTTTGATATATCAGATATTACTTGTTAAGATGTTTGATATATTACGAATGTTTGATACGTATAATGTTAAAAGAACAAATTTTATTGCAGAAAATGTATGAAAGTTTTTACACGAATTAAATAGTAAAAGAAATATTCGAATCTATACAAATACTAAATTTTATTTACAGAAAATGTTGTCATGAGAACAAAAAGGTATACTGAATACGTTGTGTTATGTAGAAAAGACTGTATAAACCGAAATAAAATCAATATACCATATATATAAATAAATAAATAAATAATAAATAAATAAATATATATATTATATATGTATGTTTTTTTTTTTTTTTTTTTATATATCAGTTATTATTTGCAATAAAGCTACTTAGATCCATTGAGCTTGATGAAAAAATTCCCATAATTTACTAGCTTTATTGACATCAATTCGAAGTAGCTTTTGTGCATCACTTTTCTTGAATGGGAGTGCTTTTTGAGCATATCGGTGAGCTGCTGAAATAAGTGTATGCTTTCCAGTTAGATATTGTATCGGTGTGAGACGAAGAATAGACACTACATGTGCCTCTATAGGATGTAGAGCGTTATAGTGAGGTAGATGTGTGATAGATAATGGTTGTCCTTTCCAAGAAATTGCAGGTGTTATCTTTTCTAATGCATCATTATCAAGATTAAGCGCGTTGATATTAGACATTAATTCATCAATTTGCATTGGAAGCGGTGGTGGTATTCGAACAGATTTTGTATCATTTGAAGTAATATCGGTATTAAAAACTGACTCTAAAAGTCCTTGATCGGCCATTACTCTGACTAGACTATTTCCCTTTCGTTTTCGTTGAGGAACTGAAGTGTCTAAGCGTTTTGTTTGGTTACTTCTCGAATGACGTTGTCTCTTTGTTGACATTAACCTTTGAATTTTAAATTTTGTATCTTTTTTTGGAAGAAACTCGTATGACTCAGGTTCAAGTGCAGTCTGAGATTGCATAAATGAAAATTTTGGTGAATTAATAGGATCGTCAATTTTTTTAAAGGTTATTATAAACGAACTTACAGTGGAAGCTTGAGTATAAGGATTCTTGAAGGAATTTTGCTGTTGATTAACAGAGATTTTATAAACGTTTACGTTATTTTTATCATGATTAGTGTAATAAGACGAAGTATTATTATCAATGATTAATTCAGGTATCGTGTGACTTGTCTTAAGTGGGGATGACTTAATATTAGATAGTGAAAATCTAGAAAGACAGTGCGATGGCGTTTTTTTATATGACAATTCCGTTTTTTTAATGTTGTCTGAATGATCAGTTGGTATATCTAATAAATATTTTATAGGAGGAAAAAGAGTATTTGCCATTTCATTTTGTTTTGATCCTCTTAATGCTGATCCGTGCGGTGAAGGTGGGGGAGAAGGTAAAGAGAGAGAATTATGTTTCTCTCTATAATAAATAAAGCTTTGCTTACTGAAAAGTGACGTGTTTGAAGAAATCATTTTGGATAGTCAAAATCTATATTTTTAACAGAAGAAAATTTTTTTTGAACGTAAAAGATTCAGTTTGGAAAGTTTGGAACACATTTATTAAAAGATGTTACTTAGCATACAGTTATCTCTATTGATATTTTGATATATACCTAAAATTTAAAGTTTGTGATGCCTTTTTACTGTATATTCGTACAATTTATTGTTATTTTTATAATTTTTTAATCTATTTATAAATATATTAAATCTGTGCATATGTAATAAAACTATATATAGGTTTCTGGGATGATCAATGATTTCACGATATCAATTTTTAAAGGTGTGGTTGCATGTATATGTCATTGTGAATATCGCATTCATAAAAAAAAATTTATACCAATATATCATAAATTTTCTGGTTGGTGCGATGAATTTACAATCAATCTTTTATGGCATCTGTTATGGCCTTTTTTGTTTGTTTAAAGAATTTTGATTCTAGAAATCCTCACTAGGCGTTGTTAACCAAGAAAAACAAAAAAAAAACATTATTGATAACTATTGATATTAGTATGCATAAATATCACCCGCAAGGACCATCGCTCAAACGAACTATCAACAAGATTTTGCGATAAAAAGTTTGATCAAGCCTCTTTAACCATTATTAGCATTGATTCCCAAATTATCCGAGTATTACGTAACTCAAACTTTCAATTTAAAATAGGTTAGATAACGATGATGTGTGCTTAAAGATGCTATTAGTCAACGAACTTTACTATTATAAAAAAAATCATCCATGATTGATTGAATGATTTAATTGCATGATCATTTATATATGGGCAATTATTAAAAAAAGAAAAAAAAAACTTTTTATATTATAGCAAACCTTGTGATAAAATTCAGTTGAAGTTGTATTCTAAACATCCCGGAGGATAGCGATAGCGATAGTAGTAATAACTGCAAATCGTCGATCCATTGTACTAACGATAGAGTCAAAGTTATTTCTGTTTTAATTTTTATTTTGTCTCATGTCCCCCAATTAAGGTTACGATGATAGGTTATAAGTTTCGATGAAAAAGTCAATTACATTTAAAAGTTCTTATCAGTACGTGAATTATTCAAGTTATTTAAACAGTATCAATTCGGAATAGTTCATTGGTACTTTTTCGCATCATTAAATATATTTAATTTTGTAGCAATATTCTCACATTTGATTTTGTGTCAATATTCTTGATCATTCACAGAAATTACTCAAAGATTTAGTATTACCTCAGCGTAAAAAATAAAATAGACAATATAAATCAGCCCTTTATCTTTAAATTTCAATAATTTTTACAGTAAATATGTTATTAATCTAATCTTGATTAACACGTCTTAATTAAATTTTAAATTTATGTCACAAATTAAAAACATACAGATATTTAATTAATATCAGTCATGGGACATGTCACTTTGATCGTAACTATATACTTAAAAATAATTGATGCAAAGTTATTTGATTTAATATTAAGATGAAAACACAAACATAAAAATTCGCAAATTTACTATTATTATGTTTATATATTAATTTGTGTAATAGGTAGTCAACCAAATATTGTATCTTAAAAATTACTGTCGTATTTTCGAGAAATATCGTCCATGGGGCATTATTTTGTATAATAGCCCGAATCAATTTTAATTTAGACCAAAATTCGAAATTATACCCCGGACCCCTGGGCGTTATTACAGCAATTAATTTTTCCAATTTTATTTTGATTTTGATTTAGTAAAATTTTTTTTTATTTTTAATAAAAAATTATTTTAATTTATTATATTGTAAACTATAAAATAAAGAGTATGGATTTTATAGCTTTGCAATTAAGTTTCAAATCTTAAGTCAAGATTTATAGTTCAATTTAAACTAAAAATATAAAATACTTTATAACCAAAATAAAGTTAATATTTAAATACAAAATTTGTATAAAAAAGTTTAAATAAAAATTTTTAAAAAAAGATTATATAGAAAGAAGTTAATGAAAATAAAATTAAATAAAACTTTAAATTAAAATATTTTAATAACTATTAAACCAAATTTAATAATTTTTTTTTAATTTTAAATAATTGTAAAATTTAATATAAAAATTTTATTACATTTAGTTAAATATTTTATTTTATTTTTATTATTTTTTCTTATATTTGCAAAATAAAAATTTATATATAAAAACAAATATTATAAAATTTTTAAATTTTTAATTTATTGCTATAGCAATATATTACTACTTTTTAATTAATAAATTAGATTTAAACTTTTATACTACTGGTAATATACTCGGATTTTTTTAGATGCAATCTTCTAAATGTAATACCTCTCTAAATATATAATAAAAAACTAGCTTTATAATATAACTTATAAATAAATATATATTCTTTATTCTGCAATTGGCTATAATTGTTTGGCTTACTTATAAAAACTCTCTTTATAAACACAACTATATAATTATTAGTTAATTATTACATAATAATAGTAATATTATAATTTTATTAATGTTTTTTAATTGCAATTTTTTTTTTTTTTTTTTTTTAAACATGAAAAGGTGTACTTTATTTTATACAACTCCTTTTAAATATACACTTTAAAGCTAGTTTCAACAATATAAATTTAGAAAGATTTAACTATATATTTATTAAAAGCTTTAAAAATTTAAAAATTTTTTTTCTTAATTTGGTAGTCTTGCCAATACTGTTTATTAGATTTATACTAAAGTATTTTTGATTACAAATATCATAAATACAGTTACAACTATCTAATATTAATTACAAATATTAGCTTACTTAGTTACTAATTTATTCTGCAATTAGACTAGTTTCTAAATTACCAGATAGTTTCCAAATCTATATATATCCTACTTATATACTACTATACAATATCTACTAACCAAGTTCTGCTCTTTATTACTTATCACATTACTCTTAATTTATTTTTTTCAAATTGGTGTTTTTTGAGTAAGCACTCTTCTTGCTTCTAGTTTGGTGTTTCTAGAGGAGCTATCTTAAGTTTTAATCTGTATCTCAAGCCAGGTGCTGCTGTTATTATAAGACCTGTATTTCAAGCCATCTGCTATTACTATTAAGGGAGTTATTTCACTTCAATCTAGGTATTCGTACTATACACTACTAAATTAGGCTACTGCTTTTTTTATGTTCCTTAAAATGGGAGTTAAATATCTTATTTAATTACTATTACAAGCTAGTAACCCAGGATCCACACTTCTGCTATATTTCATCATCAACTTTAATATAGGTTGTACAACACATTACTCACTAGCTATCTTTATTTTTATACTACTAGAGTGTTTGCTTCTATGCTTTTTAGAGTTTTTTTTAGCTAGTTTTTCTTGTTTTTTGCACTAGAGGTGTTCTATATTTAATAAAGCTATTTTCTTACCACAGCCTTTTACTATATTTACTGCTTTTCTTATTATTTCTAAATATACTACTTTATACCATCCTCCTAATCAAGTCTGTTACTGAATATTAGTACTACTTAAGAGCCACTCCCTTAATATTTATATACACAGTTTTGTATAGTATTATCATTAGTAATCCACATTACACATAGTGTTTGTTTTCTCCACAGCTTGGGTCTTCTTCCAAGAATTCTTTATTGGTTAAATATATATATTATATGGTCTTACCACTATAGAGTTTTATATTTAAAAGCTCCCGAAGGTTACAAAAATAATTAACTAAATTAGCTGTAATTAAACTATTGATATTATCTGTAGAGGGTTAGGTGTCTAGATTACTAGACTATAAGATTCTAACCCTAAAAATTCAAAAAAATTAATTAATTTTTAATAAATTTTTATATAGTATAAATAAATTTAATAAATGCTATAGGAAAGAGGTGTGGTGACTTAGTATAGTGATCTAGTCGTCACCTTCTCCAAGTGGCAGGTCTAGAGTTCAAATCCCACGGACAACGAATTTTGAAAAATAGCTTGTGTTACAGTTTACAGTTGTTAATTATCGGTTGGATCTAGAAATTTGTAATCTCGGTCATACCATCTAGTTATGGGAGCTTTGGTGCAATAAATCTGAGGAACTGGAATAACTGAAAACCCATTTGGCAAGTCCCGAGTTTGGAGGTAGTAGTGATCCATGATAGTACCACAGGAGGGCTGAATTAGAACCGGGCCCAAAATCAGAGAACTGAGTGACCAGGTCCTAATGGCGGAGGACACACCAGCCAAACCGCTAGGTTGTCGCACCAGAGGAAAAAGACATATGCTCCAAAAATATGGACCAAGAGGAGGGCGTCCTTCAGGCACCTAAAGCCTAGGCAGACCAACCCTTCCG